GTCTAAGCACATCCTTGTGTTCACCCAAAATTTGGCAGCCTCCCGGCGTCTCCCTCGTTTAGGGGAAAGTACAAGAAATTGGGCCTTCCCACCATGCGTAATAAAGGCGTGTATGGTTGGTGTCCTTAGACACCGCGGCCGTGATCTTCATTCCCACCACGCGTAATAAAGACATGTATGGGGCCTTCGAGGATACCTGTTTAACAAGACAGTTTGCTTTTCCCTCGCTCGAAGGTACTTATGAGTAACCCCGACTAGTTGTTGGCATCGCATCGGGTTCCCATCCCACCACAAGAAATAAAGGTGTGTATAATCAATTTTTTTGTTGCGCCATGAACTCTGAAATAGAATTTTTAGGTGACTACCCACCTCGTCGTAGGTGTCGCACTGGGGTCCCATCCCACCATGTGCAATAAAGGTGTGTATAGGTAGTTTTTTGGTCCGCCATAAACTTTGAGAATGAGAATATGAGTTTAGGAAAATTTGTACCTTCGCGGGGTTGGCATGTAGATCGAGGCAAGAGAAGATCATGCTTCTTTTTCTCTTTTAGGAATAATTATAATTTATAATCAATAGTAATTAAAAATAATTATAATTAGCAATAATTATAATTATTAATAATTAAGAATAATTATAATTATTACAATTTATAATTAGCATAGATTATAATCCTTAATAATTCTAATTATCAATAATTATAATTAACAAATAATTATAATTATTAATAATTATAATTAATAATACTTATAATAGCATAATTATAATCAAGAATCAAATAAACAAAAAAAACTATCGGGTTGCAGGATTTTCAATGGATTTAAGCAGAATTTAAGTTAAATCCTATTTTAAACAGGATTTAGAAACTGTTAAATATTAAATCCTTTGATTCCTATCTGTAGTTTGACGGCTTCATGGGATCTGACCAAAGAAGCACGCAAAAGGGAGTAGGTTACCTTCTCAACCAGTGAATTCCCTTCGTTGCTTTCGATCATATGTTGTAACTTTCAGTTCGGTAGGAAGGGATTGGAAGGGAGAGTGTTAACTTCACAGCGAGCGGCTCCCGTCATCACTCCCAATCAAAATTTTGCAACCTCCGATTGAGCAAGAAGGGACCTTTGTCTGAGGAGGCGAATGGGGCTCAGGGCATCTCAAGTGTTTGTCGTTCTTGCTTTGCTCCAACCGATCGCCATTTTTGACGCCATTTGATCGCAGATGAACAGTGCAACGCCAATATTGGCGTCGCACTGTTCATCTGTGCCATTTTTTTCTCTCTACCGAACAGGTTGGGAAGAAAGGCGCGAAAGAAAACGACTGTTTTACGGCAAAATGACGTTGGATTGAAGATGAAACACGGCATTTTTTGATTTCACTGCATTTTGGAGTGAAAAATGACATTTTCAGTTGGAGATGCCCTCAGGGCTTTAGCTAGGTATGCACTTTGAACATAAGGTAGTAATAAAATTCTCGGTTTGCGGCAAGGATCCAATGGGGAGGAGGCGTAGAGTACACTAAAATTGGCTAGGGCTTGTGGTCGGCTAGGTAAGGAGAAGAGTCCTCTCTTTCTCTATCTCTCTCCCTCTCTCTCTCTCTTTCTCTGGACCGAGAGAATTGAAATATTGGGGCTTGGATCTTGCGACTTTGGTGTAAGGATTAAGTGGGTGCCCGTGGATCTTGACCGTGGTAAGATCGAATGGGGCTGGGATTTTTATTTGGATTCAGATTGAAGGGTCCGACGGTTTGGAAGATACGAACAACTTCGGTGGTTAGAGGTGATGAGATGGGGAGATTAGACCAACGACGGGAGCTTTCGAAGAGAAGAAGTCGGATGGGGATACGGGACTTTTTTGCACATGTGGACGAAGAACTGAAAGCTCATTCTTGTCTCCCTTTTATCGACTAATGGCGGGATGCAATCGAGATAGTGCAGAAAATCTGGGAAGAGACACGAGTCCAGCAACTTCAGCAGGATTTCGGGTGGGATTCACGGATGCTTTTGACATATACGAGGTACAAATCTTTATCCAGATTTTTTTTTTTTTTGGTTATTTGTGTAGAGGTTAACAACATTGAAGAAAGACCTTGAAACTTTTAGTCTAAGCTCTTTTTAAATCCTGGAAATAATCTTTATATGACTTTAACCCAATATTTCCCATTTCTTTTTCTTCATCTTTAGATAGTTGGACAGCTGAAATACCTTTCCTTGAAACTTCATTCTCACTATTTTGTCTAGAGGTCAACAATGTGTTGTGCCTTTGATATAACAGAACAATCTATTGAGTTTTTGATTATGCTTGTTGAGAGGTTGAAGCATAAATTGGCAAAGTTGGTTGGTGGTAAAGGCAATATGAGGATGAGTGATAGTAAGGTAATGGAGTGAGCATGCTAGTTGCCAAAATAGAGTGGGATTGACATCGTCTAGATATGCCTCCTGTTGGACAGAAGATTTAATTGACATAGAGGTAAGAGCGGGATTGAAGTTAGCAATACCTAACTTGATGAGAAGGTCTTCAACATATTTTTATTGATGAAGAAAATAGCCTATTGAGGTGTGCTGAAATTGTATACCAATAAAGAATGAGATTGGGCCTAAGGATTTGAGAGAGAATTATCTTCGAAGACAATAAATGATGTTTTGAATGAAGGTGGTAGTATTATTGGAAATAATTAGGATAACATCTACATATAGGAAGAGGTAAGCATTGTTGTCATTGAGATAGTAAAGAAGAAGAGAAAGGTCAGGTTTGCTGAATGAGAATCCAAGAGTTTTGAGATGGTTATAGAAAGTTTTGAATCGAAGGTGAGGAGCTTGCTTTATGCTATAAACAGTTTAATTTTATGAAGCTTACAAACATGGTGTGGATGGAGTTGGTTAATGAAACCTTGAGTTTGCAACATGTAAATGACTTCATGAAGAACACCGTGTAAAAATGCATTAGAGAAGTCAAGTTGGTGTATAGGCCAATTATTGTGAAGAGCCATAGTGAGAAGTAGGTAAATAATGGGCATTTTGTTGATTTGGCTAAAAGTGTCGAAATAATCCACACAAAAGTGGTGTTTAAAATCTTGAGTAACAAGACGAGCTTTATAGCACTTGATGGTACCATTTTGATTCATCTTTGTTCTATATGTCCAATGGAAGCCAAGCAAGTTTTGATTGGGAGGAAAGTGTACTAGAGACCAAATTCCTTACTTTTGAAGAGCGAGAAATTCATTGAACATTGCTCATCACCAGGTTAGTTTTTTGGAGGCTTATTAGTTAGTATGATGTAGGTGTAGAATGAAAAAAAAATAAAAAAATAAAAAAATAAAAAAATAAAAAAAATGTAGGTGTAGAATGAGCTGTTGGAGTATATAGTAGTTAAGGAGAAGATTTATTTGGATATAAGATAGCCAGTTTTGGAATGGTTTGTCGTGGTTTTCATTCAATTACTCAATATTATTCCAAAGTATATGGGCAGCTGAATTGGTGGATGATACCCTAAGAAGAGAGGTAGTTTTGAAAGAGAATACAGTTGTTTTCTCCACCTCCATTAGAGCGAAGTATTTTAATTTTATGTTGAAAAGTGTTTTCAATCATATTAACAAAATTGGTGAAAATATACATAACCTTAGATTTGCAATGCATTAGAAATAACCAAGAGAAGCGAGAGTAGTCGTCAATGAAGAGAATGTATATTTAAAAAAAACAAACAAGGCAGCGAGGAAGGGACCCAAACATTGTAATGTATAATTTCTTATTGTTTATGTTGAGAAGAATAAGTTAATGGAAACGGAAGTTTATGGCTCTTGGCAACATTACAATAAGTATAATGAACTAAAGTGGTAGATAAAGATAACTAAACTTGCTTCGCAAGTGATGAGAGTGTGGCTTGATGTAGGTGGCCGAGGCAATCATAGCAGAGCATGGTGTTGCTGGCGTGAGTCATGAGAGCTATAGTGGGCGTGGATGATGAGGGTAGGAGATACAGACCATTTTTACTGCATCTTGTAAAGAGAATTTATTGGGTGGAGAGATCCTTTTTAGAAAAACCAAAAGCATCAAATAAGATAAAGAAGTTATTATACTAGGTCAATTTGAATATAGATTAAAGATTATGTGAGAGAGGAGAAATGAATAATAGGTCATTGAGAATGAGCTTATGGGAAGTTTGGAGAGTTGGTAGAAGGCCTTGCTCGCTGTAAGTGATCAGTAAGGAGTCGTTGCCATTGAGAATAGAGTCGAAACTTGTGTAAGGGGTGGGGTGATGCAAAAGAGTTAGATCACGGGTGAGGAGGGAAGAAGCTCTGGAGACAAGTATCCTGTTGTTGGATGAGGCACTGGAGCCTAATTGCTGCTAAGAGATGAGAGCTATAGTGGGAGAAGCTATAGAAGATAACTCTCTCTGATGGTTGAAGCTTGCCGAACCTGGACGCATGTTAGAAAACAAAGCCCGACAACGAAAGCCGAGAGAAGAAATGAAACTGTATATAAACATTATAATTCAAAACTATTACTTGCGGGTTTTTAGTTTATGCATACAGGTATGTGGTATGCAAAAGGCTACACATTGCAGAGATTGATTAAAGATCAGGGTGGAGATTTTGTTTCTTAGAAGTCAATGGAGAGGATTAAATGTGAAAATGGTATGCAGAAAAGGAGGCTTGCTTATCAATAAAAGCATAACTAAGTTCAATATGGAAAAAATTCTAAATTCCCACGTATAAAATGATACATGAATAAATATATGATGCTTCTATAAAAAAAATATATATATTTTTTAATTTATAATTTTATACATAGAATAGTTATTTATCCCAACATAAACATAAAATTTTTATCTTCCAATTTTAACAAAATATTTTAAATCTTAATATATTTTCGCAATAAGAAGATAATTTCTATTGTGAAAATACTAATTTGATGCTGGAGAAAAATAGTCCTAACTACCTCAATTAAATGATTTATTTATTTTGAAAGAATAAAATTAATTATCTTCCTGCTCTGCTCCGCACACATGAAGGTACCTGCATCACGAGGCAAATCCCCATATAATTCACAGAGATATAAAAGCCAGCAATGTCCTCCTCGACTCCAAATTCCGCCCGAAGGTTGCGGACTTTGGTTTCGCCAAACTTATGCCCGACGACGTCAGCCACCTTACCACAAGAGTGAAAGGAACACTAGGTTATCTCGCACCCGAATACGCCATGTGGGGCAAAGTATCCGAGGGCTGCGATGTCTACAGCTTTGGCATTCTTCTTTTAGAGATTGTCAGCGGCCGGAAGCCCATCGAGAAGCTCCCCACCGGTAAGAAGCGCGATATTTTGCAGTGGGCAAGGCCGCTCATGGAGCAGAGCAAGTGGGACCAACTCGCGGACCAGAGGATGGCAGGGCGGGTCGATCTGACCCAGCTGCGGAGTGTGCTTGTTTTGGCGCTCAAGTGCACGGATGGGAATCCCGATGACAGGCCGACGATGATTGAGGTAGTGGAGGTGTTGCGAAGGGGGATTGGGCTTGGGCTTGTCGTGAGGGTTAAGGAAGAGGGATCGGAGGTTAAGGTGGGGGATACCATGATTGAAGAGGAAGAGGAGGATGGAGTGATGGCTGATACTTCGAGTTACAGTGTCGGCAGGAATTTGGCTGTGGATATGCGATGAAAGAGGAGTTGGTTTGCTCTAATGCTGGATTGTCCTGTCGTTATTATTCTTTTCTTTTGAAAAATGTCAAAATGTGGAATTCGGCATCCATCCGCCAAAATCTGGGAATGGGAGGTGAGCTCCATAACCAAAATGTAAATCTCCCTCTCACGCGAGATTCTGCGGATGCCTGCCGAATTCAGGATCTGCAGCATATTTTGTTTTATTTTTTGTTTAGTTTGATGAAGGGCAACTTATGCAATATGGGACAGATATCATTGAGGGATTTCTTATGAAAATTCTTATATGGAAATTGGAAATGCTAATCATCGTTCATTCATATTTATGTTTGTGTGCATATGTTATACCATGTCAATGAAATACGGATATCAACGAAACACAATTGATGATGTCGGGTTTTTTATCTGCAAATTTTTTATAAATAATCAGGAGTTAATTGTCTAATAGTTTGTGATGTTTCATATTATACGATAGTTATGTAGATTTTTTATTTGATTTAAACAAATTGATAGAATTTCATTAGAGCAATATCGAAATTTTAGAAAAAATGTTAAAAAGATTGAAAATTGTTCTGATAAACTATTAATCGAATTCATTTTGAACTTCAAAAATGAGCTTGAACATAAAAATCAACCATTAGAACTCTATAACTTAATTTTTGATCTTTTTTTAACTCATCATATACCGCCCCAATCAATCAAATGGAGGAATTTTGTTGTAATGTTTGGGAGTAGAGTTTTTTTTTTTTTTTAATGAAAACATAAGTGGTCTGTTTAAAAATACACAGATATTTTTGGTGAAGTAAAGTCCTATGAAGATAATAGCTCTACAAATAATTACAAACTCCTAAAACTGCCTCAAAGTAGCCATTGCCTCTAACGGACTAATCCTCTCTTCTATATTTAACCACAATGAGCTTCATTGCCATCCAAATTTGAGATGCTATCGCAGAATATAGGACAGTTGTAAGTTCACAACATATTGTTTTGTAGCTACATTACAAAGGATACAATGGAAAAGTAAATTTGATGCTTCTCTTTTTATGTTATCTTCGCCCTCTTCTCCCACTCTACTTCTGTAATACAACGTACGTAACTTCGGTATCCTGCATGGTTAAAAAACCATTGAATTGTATGATCTTAAGTCCCCATGCTATTTTAAGCAAAAAGCTGTGAAAGCTATCTCGATGACACATTACCCAAACAAACTTACCCTCATTTAGGATGAGATAATCATCCCCATGCCTCAACATATAAAATGAATGGTAGCCAATGAAAAATTCAATGCAAAACTATATTTCAATATCTTTGCTCGGCTACTACCACATGTTCTAACTCTTGCCTCTTGTGAAAAAAACAAAACAAACATGCATTAATCATCGATGACAATTCTCCAGCAGATTCCACATCATTCAACTCAAGAATGATCTTAACAATATAATTGTAAAAGAGCATTCTAAGATATAGTATCTCTCAATATCTAAGGCGAAAGTCGATGTTATTTCCACTGCGGGTTTAGAACCAGACACTGGTGACATCATTTTTTTTATACTCTAGTTGGTCTCCCTCCTACTTTCCAAGCATTCATGGGTACTACTGATAAAAATCATCAACCCATAACATGGATGACTTTGACTCACTTCTCTATAACGAAGAGACCAATCCAACACAAGAAGTTTGTTTATGTGTTCTAGATTTGCATCAAGCTCATCAAATAGCTTAGTTACCACACACGGACTGAACTAAGGTTGACCACCCTACCTCAATTCCAAATATGGGCATTGCCCCTCTAACTAATATAAATCTAACCATAGCTCCAATGTCAGCCTTATGGGAGGCAAATCCCACCACAACCACATAAGGTTTCAAATTTATGGTAAGCTAGGCCAAATGGTTACCAATTGTTGACATTGAATATTACCTATTTTACAACCTAATCTAACACTTATGCCTCTCTTGCTAGTTTTAAACAACATCCTAATAATTAGCTACTCAACAATAATTTTATTCATCACACTTGATTTACATTAATTGCACAACTCTCAACCTTACCACAACAATCAACGAGTTATCATCATAAATATGCAAACAGAACCCATCTCTCAAATAAATTAAAGAATACTCCGTACACCCACTTATATGCTCTTTCTATGTCATATTCTTTGCATTCCCAAAAATTTGTACAATCTCCCATCAATTAAAAAACAACTAGCTATTGATGATTCATGCTATATATCTTTCAAAATATTTGCATACATCGTAACAACTAGCAATATCAGCCTCTATCCAATCTACAACCCTTTGTTGTCCTTCCATCTATAAACACCATAAATCTCTATACTATAGATAATGCTAACCCCACTCCATGCCTTTCAAAAAAATCCATCATATGGGGAAAAGGATAATAAGATGAAGGTGTTCTGCTCGTAAAGGATATTCTATAATTAGAAAATAAAAAAGTTGCATAGTTGGGTAGTACTTATAAAATACTCATGAGAAGTTATATCATCAAGTTAAATCAAGGGAACAATATAGGGCAATAAGTCTCCCAAAGGGCCCAAGGTCGGGTAGAATATACTTTATAATTTATAAATCCTCTAAGAGATATGTTGCAAATCTGGGCTCAAGTCTTGTAATTTTGATGATAATAAATATTATTATTTTTATTTACTAAGCTATCTCCTAATAATTGAAGTTCATTGCATATCTATTTTCTCTGTTGAATACTAACATTTAAGATCCACAAGCTCACTCTCAAGCCAGCTCAAGGCCGAGTAGATAAGGACTGACTCAAGTCTATTATTTTAATTTAAATGCATATTCTACCTTTTCTTGAGTCAATTATAATATGGTGGATACTAAAGCTAAGTAATCTTTCACACACACACACACAAGAGAGTGAGTAAAGGGAGATAGAGAAAATTAATTTTTTTGGCCAAATCGTACAAGATGATTTCGTATCATCCTAGACAATCTTTTCAAGCTCACAACCCTTATTAGGGCATCTAGGTCATTTAAACCATATTAAACAAATCATCATGAACAATACTCCCATCATTCTAGATGATATGCTTAAATGACAAAAACCAGTCGCCAAACTCATTTAGGTAAGATTTTAGAACTCTAAAATTTACACTAATCATATAGGACACTCATGATTGTCCTGGATAATTTGTAACAATCATGTCTAAATTGATCAGGTGATTAGGAGAGTAATTATGGTTAGATTGATCGAATCATATAATCCGGCAAGATTGTAGAATTATACTAAACGATCTTTAAGAAAAACCTTAGTTCTCTCCTAAATCTCCTGGACGTCCCAAACTATATTTTGGATTATAAATGTCTGATTTTAAACTAATCGTACAGGACGATCTCAATATCGTCCTCGAAAATTAGTTATAATTTTATATATTTTCCCAATTTATCTCCTAGTTATCCCAAATTATCTGCTAGATGATAATGTCTGATTTTGAATTAATTATATAGGATGATGTCCACATCATCTTAGATGATCAGAACAAACTTTGTGTTTTAATCATACAGGAAACCCAGATCACAATGGTAGGAAGGACTGATTTAAACTAATCCTACGGGATGATCAACATATTATCCTAGACAATCTTTGACGGCAAGTTGAAAATTAGGGCATTTTTCAAGGACTTCAATTAAAGCTCTCTTAATTAATGATGATATAATCTTTTGTTGTTGCCCTGAATTGAGAGAGCTTAGAGAAGGAGAAGGAGAGCTTGAGAGAGAGAAAGAATCTTGTGATGGGGAGTTTATGAGGTGTTCACAAAGGTTACTTCAAGTAAGGATTTAAGTCATATTTTCCAATCATCATCCTTGGCTCCTTGGTGGCTCTAGGGAGGTCTTCATCAGCACTAGATCAAGGTTATCTGCCTCCTTCAGGAGGAAGCTAAAGGAGTCTAAGTTCTCTACCTTATTGGGATCATTGGGATCGATGAAAAGATTTAGGGCTTCTCCACCTTGCTATGAGAGTAAAAGGAGATACACTATAGTTTTAGTGCAATACTTGGAGGGGAGGCTCCAGGGAGTGGATGTTGGCCAGGTTGAGCGAACCACTATAAAAATATCGTGTATTTTTTATTATAATTTAATTTTTGCATTATTCACTCTTGATTATTTGTATGGTTGAAATATCATAATTCTATTTCTCTAAAATTATTTTGTTTCCTCCTTGGGATAAAAGTAGTTTATTTTAAAATATAAAAAATATCAAAAAAATTTCCTTATTGTTTAAGTTAAATTGTTTAAAAATATTAATTCACCACCCTTCTTGGTTAGCCTCCGACTAGTTTATAAGGGCTTAATAACCCTAATAAACTTTCAAGTTATATCAAAGAAGGATTTAAAATATCAAGTTTTAGAAAACTTTGAATTAAATATCCATGACTAACTTTGGTAATTAAAATACGCCGGAAGGGTATTCCATTACTCGACCACCCTTATTTGATAATATACTATTTGGTTTTTGAAAAACACATGTTTACCTTTTTTCAATATATAGATTATCTCATGTGGATGCTTATAAAAGAAGGTTATTTTGCATCAACACGTGAAGTTAATGACATAAAAAGAAAACTTTCTTTTTTTAATGGACTTTTGATGATAGAGATCTATCACAACTTAATACAAAATATTTAAACTATTTTTTTTTTGTGCTCTAAAATCTGATGATTACATGCATGTTTCAACATGTGTAACTGGTAAAGAAATTTGAGATAGATTACGTATTACTTATGAAGGCACAAGTGAAGTTAAGAAATTTAGGTTAAATATTTTACTTCATGACTACGAACTTTTCGTATGAAATCTAGTGAGTCAATATCTGAAATGTATACCATGCTTACACAAATAGTAACCTCCATGCATGCCTTAGGAAAAGAGCTAACAAATTATGAGAAAGTCAACAAAATTTTGATATATGTACCTGTTTTATTTGATTCTAAGATTACTGTTATAATTGAATCCAAGGATTTGAATGTTTATTATATAGATAACTTACTTGGATTACTCATTACTTATAAGCAAGGAGTGAATCTAAGACAACTTGATACATGGGAGAAAAAGAAGGGTACATAATTAAATTTTTAACTGATAGCTGTAGCATAAGCATGAATGGAAAAATTTTGCCGGATGGAAAAAGATTGAATAACATTTGCATGCTAGATTTGAATTCTATTAATTTTACACCCTTTGCCTAAAAATTGTTGTTGATGAGTCATAGTTGTGGCATAAGAGGTTATGTAATGCTAGCATGAAAATACTTAAAAAAGTAACCCAAAAAGACTTAGT